GGCGGACCAGCGGGCCCCCAGAGGCAAAGCCTGCGTCTGTGGCTGCTGGCCAGGCCCTTACTCCACATCGGCCCTGCAGTGCCCGGGGCCTTCCGGCCCTGCCTCCAGCCTCCCGTCGGCTCCTCTGTCCTCTTCCTTACTCAGGCCGAGAACCTCCGGCCACCTTGGTCACTGCTCTGCCTGTCCAGCCCCTGCCCCCTTCTGCCAGGAATTCCCTCCCCTTCTCCAGCAGGGGATGCACTCCCCATCTTAGCCGGGAGTGAGAGCCGGGACAGAGGGCAGGCAGAGGCCTGAGCACGGGGCAGGCCTGAGGCCCTGTCTGGAACCCCTGGCCCTCCCTCACTGGCAGTCTGTGGTCGTGGTCACAGCCTCTGACAGGGGCTCATCACCCTAGGTGAGTGCCTCAGGGAGTGTCCTGCAGGCAGAGCGGGGGCTCACCAGCTGGCACGCACCGCAACGGAGGTCCCACCGCCCACGGGCCCTGGCTGGACACTCCTCACCGATGCCACCCCCGAAGTATCTCAGGAGGCACTGGGGGGGGGGAATCTACAGGACAGGGTGAGGCTGACGGGGGCGCTGGGAAGTTGACCCGTGCAGGGTCCGAGGCTGGTAAGATGGGGAGGCCGCCCTCAGGTGTCAGGCCAGCTCCTCTGATGCCCAGCACCTGCCCTGGGCTCCCTCCTCTGCAGGCCACCAGGAACCCACCACATGGGAGGGGTTCCCCAGGCTGGGTCATCCCCTCGCCCCTGGCAGACCTGTGAGGAGGCGTGAAGGAGAGGAGGCCCGCCTGGAGGTCCAGCCTCGACAGAAGGGCCACCTGGGGCTCTGGGCCTCAGGTCCTCTGTCCCTGGGAAGCAGGTGGCCGTGAGAGCAAGGCCCCCTGCTCCCCACAGCAGATTCATGGCCAGACCCTGTCTGGGCCACTTTTCCCAAGGACTGGTCCTGGCTAAGACTCTCAGTCTCAGAACTCACGTGAGGCCGGTGCTGCAGCCCCTGGGCCCCGCCTGGCAGGACACGCCCACCTCGAGTCCTACTCACCCTCTGCCCTGCCACACCCTAGGCTCCCTGGTGCAGGGACAGTGAGTGGACACTCGGCCCACGAACAGATAAACACTCCTTGTTTGAAGGAACCAGGAGCAGGCATGGGGGTGGCTGGGTCCCTGGAGGGAGAAGGGGTCGGAAGCCTCCCCAGAGGTGCAGCGGCCAGCCCTGCCCATAACCTCTGGGGTGCCTCTCCTGCAGGGGGCCGGCACAGCCCTCGCTCAGGGCCAGGGGGACACTCTGACCGTCCGCAGGTCACAGAGGGGGGTGCACGCCAGGACTGATGCTGGCTGGGCCGGGCACCTCGGTGGGGAGGCAGGGCCGCCTGCCCTGGGGACAGTGCCTGTGAAGGTCTCCTCTGGCTGTCCTCCCAGCTCGCACACCTGCAGACAGCGTCCTGGGAGAATCTCTCCCCGAGTCTCCCCTCCAGGTAGCCCCAGCCTTGCTCAGCTCCCCTCCCAGCCCCTGGCCTGCAGGCCCTGAACGTCTCGCAGAGGTGGCCCTGGGAACAGGTGCAGGCCACGCTGCCATGCCACCGTGGACCTGCCGCAGGCTGGCTCCTTCCTCAGGTTTTCCCGTTCCAGAGGTTGCAGAACGAGAACTCTCGGGGTATGTGCCTGTCCCCACTGGCCACCACCCCAGAAAGCCTCTGAACTACTGGGGACGCCCACCCCAACATGGCCAGTCAGACACTGTCTGCCTGCGGATCCCACGGCAGCCCTGAGGTGGGCAGGTGTGCGAGCAGAGGGCCTGCTAGCCAGGAAGCCTGCCAAGCATCTGGGCGCACCAGGAAGAGGCTCCCTACCAGGCCAGGGTGCCCCACACCTCAGTGTCACTCAAGAGGCCCACCCTGGCACAAGGCCATTCAGTTTTGGCGGGGGGGAGAAGAAAAAGGGATCAACTCTCCAGGCTGAAGAATGCAGACTGGAGCACACACCCTCTTCCCGGGTCCTGGAGCCAAGAGAGGGCTGGGAAGCAGTAGCGCGTGGGCGGGCGGGGGAGGAGAGAAGGAGCGAGGCTGCCTCTCAGGCCCCGCCCCTTGACGCACTAACGGGGGCTGGCGCGTGGCCAACGCTGACCATCAGCTCTGAGATGAGGGTGTGCAAAAGGCCACGCTCCCTTCCTGCTCTCGGGGTGCTGGCTCCACAGAGTGCCAGCGCCGTGACGTGGGGACACTCGGCTACCCACAAAGGGGCCACGAGGGAGGGACAAGGCCTCCGGTCAGCAGGCAGCCAAGGACCTGGGGCGGCGACGACCGAGAGCCCCGAGGGCCAGCTCCCAGGCTACCTGCACAGTGCCCCGACTGAGCTGTTCTGAGCTGTTTCCCAGAAAGTGCAGGATCAGGGGGCAGGGACAGCCAGAGGGTGAGACAGCCTGGGCTGCAGGAGGCGGTGGGTGGGCAGGAGCCGCGTCTTCCTGCGAGGGAGGGAAGCGTGGACACTGACGGGCCCACAGGGTCTACGCAGGCTGTGGGCTCCCATGGCCACTGCACGTTGGGCCCACACCAAGCCCGGGCTTACCCTCTGCCAGGCACTGCTCCAAAAACCGGTGCTTTTCTTTCTTTTTTTTTTTTTTGGAGAGGTTTTTGCTCTAGGGCGCGTGTGCTCGCCAGACAGACAGAGACAGAGAGACAGAAAGCGAGAAATCACCCCCCAGGGGGGATGGCCACGCCGCAATCCCTTCTCCTCCATTCTCCTCTCGGGATCTTGGGCACGCACGCACACACGCCCGGCGTGAGTTTTAAGCCACCGGGTCCGCGGTCGACTATGTGGGAGTCCAGCGACATAGCCATTACGCCAACTGCTGGTTCCCAACCCCGGTGCTTTTCTCTCCGTCTCACGCGGTTCAGTGGGAAACCGAGGCAGAGGGGGGGAGGGAGTGCCAAGGCCCCGAGGGGTGGCTCCACCATTCACTGCTTTTTTTTTTTTTTTTTTTGGTTTGAGGGGTGCGCTCACCAGAGAGACTCGGAGAAGAGAAGCAGAAAGCACCCCCAATGGGGAGCGACTGTCACACAAATGTGTCTCCCCATCCTGGTGGGATTTGGGGCATGCGTGCACACGAGCCCGATGTGGTTTTCAAACTGCCAGGGCCAAGATTTGAACTCGGTCGGCCATGTGGGATCCAGCTCCCTTAACCACTAGGCTATTGGGCTGCCCACACTCCGGCTCTCCAGCCGCCGTGTCCTGTGGCCTTTCCAGACTCCTCTAGGAACAAGTGGCCACAGGAGCTGAGCCGAGGGGACATAGCCAGCGTGGGGTAACTGGCTGGACTACGGGGGCCTGTGCTTCCATGTTCCTCAGGGCAAAGCAGGGACGGCACAGGTGGACGCCAGCACCCGACGGAGAGCCCTCAGGGCTGGCAGCGAGGGCTCCTGACCTCGGCCCCCGAGCAGTGTGGCCAGATGGCTGGCAGGGGCCTTTTGGATCTGTCTCCCTCCTGGGCACTCCTGCCCGTTTGCCCACTGCTGGGATGCCCGGTGTGTGACACAGCCGGGGTGACACAGCTGAGAGCAGCAGGCCGGATGTGAGACCGCGGCCAGGAGACAGCCAAGCCTTCAGAGATGACTGTGGGTGGAGGGCAGGGTCTCGGGCGAGGGTGGGAGAAGCAGGGGAAGGGCCTGAAACGGAGGGCCAGGGAGGTCGGTCTACCCCTGGGTGTGCCCAGAAGTACACCCTTGTCCTGTTGGGGGGGGTCTTCAGAGCCTGGCCACGCCCCTGTGAGCTAGAAGCCAGCAGGGAGGGCCCATGCCCTGGGTGGTGGCCAGAGCTGGCCGAATCAGCACCGCCAGAGGTGGGGCGGGCCTGGACCGGCGAGGTGTCATGCCTGGCCCACTCCACTCATCCCCTCCCGCTCACTGGCCTCAGGTGCTGCCTCAGTGCCCCTTCCCCTGGGCCTGTGCCCCACCCCTGGGCCTGTGCCCCCACTCCGGTCTGCGGTGCCTCGCTCAGCAGGCCGCTGTGCAGCAGGTGTCCTGGGTTTTAGGACGAATGGGTCAGCCAGGCCCGCTGCCGCCTGCACCCGCCCCTGTGCTTCACCAGCCCACTGACCTGGCCTGGCTTGTCCCCCCTGGCTGGTTTCTGTCCACCTTGCCCATGGTGGCTTGATGGGGCCCATGTAGGCTCTGGCACCAATGGCCCCATGGCAGGCTGGTGCCAGGAGCCCTCGGGTACCCACAGGGAACCCGACCAAGCCGCCCTCCCATCTCCCCAAGGCTTTGTTGGGGAGGAGCACGGAGGTGGTGCTCCCTGCCTCCTGACCACCCTCGTTTACAGACGGGGAGACTGAGGCACTGAGGGTTCAGTTAAGACGGCGGATGAGGGATGTGCTGACCAGACCAAGCCACAGATGGACAGTGACTGAGGAGCACGCCGGCAGCGTCCAGGCCCCAGGAGAGCACCCAGGCTGAGGGGCGCCCCCGCCTCCTGCCCTGACTCCACGGGAGCAGGGCTTCCTTCAGCTGGTGGGGGCCCGGCTCTGGCACAACCAGGCATGGGGCCCTCACCTCCAGGAGCTCAAGGACAGGACTCACCTGGGCCCACAGAGGCTGTGCTGGGGGTGGCCTCGGGTCTGTGTGGCCGGGGAGGCCCGGGATCCTTGGATGGGTCTGGGGTGGAGGCGGACGCCGAGGGAGGACAGGGGATGACGGTGGCAGACAGTGCGGGGCGAGGCTTGGTGTGGGTGTCGCTGGTTCACTGGAGAGCATCAGCGGGCACGGGGTCGGGGGCTGTGGGGACCGCTGCCGCAGGAAAGAAGTTCTCCCGGCTGTCCTTGGGGTGCTTTGGGGTGGTAGGCGTGTCCCCCGAGGCCTGTGAGGGCAGAGGAGAGGTGAAGGCCGGCTGGGCTGCACTGCCCACCCCGGCCCGCGCACATGCCCACAGGCCTCCCGTGGGTTCAGGAGCATCGATGCGGCCTACGGCATTACTCTCGCTGCACGACACTGAGGCCACGGGCACTGGCAGGAGACTGCGCGGCAGGACACAGGTGGGGACCTGGGCCGGCTCGCCCCTCGCACTCCAGGGTCGGGAGGAGCCCAGCCATGTGACTGCAACTACAGTGCCCACTCTGGGACCCCAGGAAGGGAAGCTGGTCCCAGTGGGAGGGTCACCCAGGAGGCTGGGGGATGGTCAGGGTCCGCACCCGCATTTCGGGACTAGGGACTACAGCCTGCTGGGAAGCCAGCCACGGCACCTGACGTTACCCCCAGCTCGGCCAATCAGGCCTGTCCCTGTGCCTGGCCTGGGCAGCCCCCACCCTCTCCTCCAACAGCCTATCGGTTCCCGGGAGAGCCAGGCCCGTAGAGGCCACGAGACTCGTCACACGGTTCTCTCTGCCACGGGCTCTTTTAAGGCTCTTCTCATGAGACACCCCAACCCCTCAGCCCGTAGCTAGCCTTCTGGGGCTGCAGCCTTGACCGGGGTTGTGAGGTGAGCCAGCAGGATCCCCCACCCCTGCTTCACTGACAGCCCTGTCTCTTCCTCATTGGTTTGGTTTGCAAAGTGCCGCCCCGGGCTTCACAGTGTAGGGCACCGTGGCTCTGCCCCATGGGGGAGCCTAGAGCCCAATCTGCATCTGGGGCCCGGCCCTGGGCTCAGGCAGCACACCCTGGGGCAGGGCAGGACAGACCTGGCTTCTGTGGCCCCAAGGGCCGAGGTGGTGCCAGTGGAGCTGCTGCAGCCCAGAGGCAGTGTGGCCGACACGCCGGGGAAGGCGAGGGCCGCGTGCCTGTCCCACTCAGGAGTGGGTGACAGAGACTCTGTGTCCAGAGCACCCTCCACGTGAGCAGCTGGACAGGCCCTGGGCAAAGTGGATACTCTGTGAGTGGTGGGAGCAGTGGCTCAGGACCCAGCGCTGGACAGAGGTGGGGCCGGGAGGGCGCGGTGGTCTCCTCTGTGCCCTCCCTGAGGAGGCTGCCAGCCAGCTGCAGGAGCTGGGGTTCTGTGGGTTGGGGTGTGGGGGATCCCAAAAGAGCATCCTGCCCCTATCACCCCACGGGAGATGCTGTGGCCGCCTGTCTAAACTGAGGAAGACCCGGGCAGTGGGTCAGGTCACCTGTCCCCCACAACCCCTCAGTTCCAGGCATACTGGCCTGAGGCCACCTAGCAGCTAGCAACTCAAAAGGTGAGAACTGGGCCCCAAGCTCTGGCCACCCCCATGACGCAGACCGGGAATGCAAGGTCTCTGACAGACATCCCAGCCTGCCCTTCAGGGCCCCAGGAGCAGGTGTGTGGCCCCTGCCCTTGGCGACTGCTGGTTCTCTTTGGCCTCAGCCTCCTTGTCTGAGAAATGGGACCCTTCGCTGCCCGGGCTCCCACCAGCTCAGTACCCCTTTCTTCTCAGGCCAGGGAGGAGGAAGGTATTTGGGGGCTTCCTGTGTGGCCCCATCATCTGAAGCCCCTTGAAGATCAGTATTGGAAACACTCTCTGCTCAGTCTTAGCACCCACACGCGGGCCTGCCCACCTCCGTCCTGTGGAAGAGGCTGCGGCGAAGGCCCCGGGGGCACGCACTGCACCGTGGACACTGGCTACTTGTGTGACCACGTCATGCTGGGGACGCTGGCGGGGCACATCCGCCCTGGAGTCTGGCCCTCAGTGGGGACTGCAGGCTGTCCTGTCTGGCCCGCAGCCTGCTAGGTCAAAGCTGAGCTCCCCGGGCTTGCTTAGGCCTGGAGCCCGAGCAGAGGGCGGGGGCCTGAGGTCCCATCCACTGAGAGGAATCCTGTCAGGACCCAAGCAGGGCCAGCAGGCAGCAGTGGGGGGACCTGAGACTGGGCTGCCCCAGGGGCAACCGCACCACCTCTGCTGTGCAGGCTTACTGCAGAAAGGGTGTGCTGTCAGCCCGCCGGGACGCCCCTGCGACCTCCCACCTCCCCAGTCACCTGGACCCTTCCTGATGACCGGACCCTGCCCGCGGGTCTCCCACGAAGACCTCCTCTCAGCCCCACTCCTGCTCCTTCCCCCGCACACCCCTACCCCCAGCCCCGTGACTCCTTACCAACAACCCTGTCCCCATGCCCGCTGCCCTGGCCTCGCTGCCTGGCCACCCCTGGGGGTATTCTCCTGGCCCCTGGCCCACATCGATGGCTTCAGGGGCACCTACGCTGGCTCCTCACATACTCTCCAGGTCTGGAAGGTGTCCTCCTGGCGGGGCTCCCCAGGGCTTTCTGCCTTTCCTGTCTCTCCCTTGGAAGAATGTCAGTCCCGACACGAACCCAATCTCAACCCCAATCTCGAGGGCTGGGGTCCTCCCAGGAGACGGTGTTGCCTGTCAGGGCCCAGGAAGGACCACCACCCTCACATTACCCTGCCTGGCCACCTTCTTGTCATCTCCAGGATCCTACCATCCTTGCCTGGCCCCTGAGCCCGACAGCAATGGCGCTGCCCTGCTCCCTCCCTGCTCGGTGGGTCTGGGGGCTCCCGCCACCCCTCAGGAGGAGCCCCCCATCCCTCCCCACAGTGGGCCCCTGCACAGACGCCATCTCGCCCTGGTCCCCTCAGCCACCTTGCTCCTCATCAGCCCAGCTCCACCTCTGTCCCAAACAGAACCCTTTCCAGGTGGGGTGGGCTGGCTAGGCCCCACCCTCTGTTCAAGGTCCCCTGTGAGCTCGGGGCTCACCTGCCTCCTGCCATCTCCCCTCGGTTCATGTGACCACGGAAACGGTGCCTGGGCAGCCACTTCCCAGCTTAGGGCCTAGGGCCTTGGTGCAGGCAGGCCCCGGGTAACGAGGCTGGCACGGGCTGGTGGACTTACCTGTCTCTGGGCGGCGGCTCCGAGGTGCACCTGGCAGAACTTCACGGCCTGCTCCAGCGCAGCCTCCTCGTCCACCTGAGAAGGAGATGCTCGAGGTCAGCACGCTCAGGCCACGGCGGCTGGCCTCGTCCCAGCCCTGCCCTCCTCTGCACATAGCTCAGCCTGCGGGGGGTGCCCTGGAACTCCTGTCCACGCCCCCCCGCCTCCAATCCCCAGCTCCACACCTGGATTTTCCTGCTCTGTTTAGGAAGCAGGGTAAGGTTGGTCTGGCCCATCTCCCAGGTGGGGTGCAGGCCAAGCACTGCAGCACCGGGGCCCACCCTGTCCACACCACGTCCCCTTCTGCAGCTGAGTTATTCACATCCTCAAGACTGAGACTGGCTGGGGAGCTCAGGGCCCCAACCAGGCCTTCAAAGTGGGTTGAGGCCCAGCTGCTAGGGGATAGGGTGGTCATCTGAGTTGGAACCCACCCACCCCTCACATGGCCAGGACAGGGTAGGCTATGACAGGGGAGGGTCCTCTGGGAAGCCACACCTGGGCAGCGGGCACATCTGCTGGCGACAGCCCTGAGCTGTGCCAACCATGTCCCAGAGACCAAGAACCCAGGGCACAGGGAGGCTGGGGCAAGAGAGGAGGTGTGGGTCACCCTGGACGGTCGGTGGGCAGAGCTGAGGGACACAGCCATGCCCTGCCGAGCAAGGTCAGGGGAGCGGGCATGGCCAGGACAGGTCCACCCTCTCCAGCAAGGAAAAGAGCACTTGGGTTTTTGCCTAAGTAATCAATGGCTAAAACAAACAGAAGTGAATACTGGACGCTGGTGAGGTAGGCAGATAGGCATTGTCAGAAGTGGCACTCCGGGGCCAGGCATGGGCACATGCCTGTAATTCCAGCTACATAAGAGGCTGAGGGGGCAGGCCCGTAAGTGGGAGGCCTGTCTCTAGAATAAAGGAGGAAAAAAAGGTGGCGATGCAGATTAATACAACTTTGGAAACAGCTACGCTATCGGGGATAGTCAGCGTTATGTGAGCCAGTTCTGGGAATTCTTCCTGTGGGAATCATTTTAAGTACAGATGAAAGCATTGGGGCGTGGAGAAAGCCATGACGTTTTCTGTTTTTCTATGCGACAAGGTGTCGTGACTTTTCTGATGCCTCAATATGTGCCTAATACATTAAAAAAAAACAGGGCCAGGGCCAGCAGGTGGCATGTGGTTAAAGCACTGGACTCCCACATGGCCAACCACGGTTCAAGTCCTAGACCCAGTGTCTTAAAACTCATGGTAGGCACGTGTGTGTGTGCGCCCCAAAATTCCAAGAGGAGGATGGAGGAGAGGGGGTTGTAGTGTGGCCATCCTCCCGGGGGGGGTGATTTCTCACTTTCTATTGACTGCACACACACACACACACACACACCCAAAAAAAGAGGGCCATTTGGTGCCACGGTGGTTGAGGCGGCCAGATCTCACATGGCTGACTGTGTGGTCTGAGTCCCACGTCTGGTGGCTTCATGCTGGGTACGTGTGCGTGTCCAAAAATCCCAAGAGGAGAAGGGATCGAGGCCTGGCCTCCCCTCTGGGGGTTGCTCATCCCCTCTGAGGGGTGCCTGCTCCCTTTCTCCCTTTCTCTCTCTCTGTCTTTCTAGCAGAGTGCTTGCACACTACAGAAAATTAAAAACAAAACAAAACAAACAAACAAAAAAATACAAGACAAGACGAGGCTAGCATAGCAGATACGTAGCTCAACTCCCATGACTGGCCATGGTTCGAGTCCTGGACCTGGTGGTGTGAAACTCACAGTGGGCACATATGCCTATGTGGCCAAGATCCCAGGGAAAGAACAGAGAAGGGATTGTGGCGTGGCCATTCCCTTTGGGAGGTGATTTCTCATTTTCCCTCTTGCTGTCTCTCTATCTCTCCAGCACGTGCCTGGGTCCTAAAGCAAAATCTCTCAAAAAAAAAAAAAAAAAAAGAAAGAAAGAAAGAAAAAAGAAAGGAAAGAGAAATACTCTGGGTGCCTATGGGTGTGTGCCCAAGAAATCCCAAGAAGAGACTGAAGAAGGGACCACAGTGTGGCTATTACCCGAGGGGGTAATGTCTCATTTTCTTTCCCTCTTTCTCTGTCTCTCTCTGGTGAGCAAATAGACACTATTGCAAACTAAGACACCCCTCCAAAAAATATCTACCACACCCCCAAGAAAAAAAAAACAAAAAAACAAAAAGAAAGGCAAAATAGCAAGAGAGATGGCCTCACTGGTCATATTCAGGGACTGCAGCCTCCTTTCGTTGAGACCCCAGGAGAGGAGCCGTGAAGGACGTCACCCCAAAGGAGCCCAGAGACCCCATCACAGTGGTGGGACCGGGGGGCCTCTCTCTGGGCTGCATTTGATATGGTTTTTCCAATATGGTTTCATTCTTCTTTAAGGTAAACAGAATTTTTTTTTTCTGGTTTTAGTTTGCTAGGGCTGCACGTGCAACTGCCTGAGTGGGACAGAGAGAAGGAGCAAGAAAGGATCCCACTTGGCCGACCACAGTTCGAATCCAGGCCCCATCAGCTTGAAAGATGGACTCGTGTGCCCGCATGCCACAAACCCCACAGGAAGGGGACAGGGACGGGACTGCAAGTGACCGTGCCCCATGGGAGGGGCTTCCCCCTTCCTTCTCTTGCGGTCTCTCTCCTTGGTGAGTGTATGTGACCCGTGGCGACTAAAAGAAAAGCCGAGACCAGCAGATGGCATGATGGTTATGTCACTGGGCTCCTTTGTATTCAACTATGGTTCGAGTCCTGGACCTGGTGGCTTAAAACTCATACCAGGAGCATGTGCGTGCAAGCCCAAGATCCCAAAAGGACAAAGGAAGAGAAGTGTGGCCATCCTCCCGGGGTGTGATTCCTTGCCTTTTCTCTGTCTCTGGAGAGTATATGTGCCCTATAGCAAAAAAAAAAAATCTCTCTTAAAAAAAAGGGGGGGGGTCCCAGCAGGTGGCGTGGTGGTTAAGGGTGCTGGACTCCCACATGGCCAGCCGCGGTCCAGGTCCTGGCAGCTTGCTTACTCACTCTCACTCTGTCCCTCTCTGATCAAATTAAAATAAATAAAAATGAATAAATACAGTTAAATAAAATAATTATTAGAAACAGAACAGAAAAGCCAAGCAAATCGTTTTTTTTTTTTTTTTCTGGAGAGGTTTTTGCTATAGGGTGCGTGTGCTTGCCAGAGAGACAAAAAGTGAGAAATCACCCTGCCACAATCCCCTCTCCTCCATTCTCCTCTTGGGATCTTGGGCACGCACTCTTGGGCATGCACGCACATGTGCCCGGCGTGAGTTTTAAGCCACTGGGTCCGGGACGCGAACAGCGGTCTACTATGTGGGAGTCCAGCGACACAGCCATTACGCTAACTGCTGGTCCCAAGCACATCGTTTTTCTGGCCTGCTCGTGTTACCCCTGAGAGGCAGGAGGTGTGAACAGTGGCTGGGCGAGGGAACGACGCCCTAGGCACGGCACGTCCGGACCCCTGGCCCACTGGGCGGCAGGAGGCGGAGGATAGGGCGCGGGGGCTGCCCACCTGCTTGATGAGCATGTAGGTTTCGGACATGACCCTCTCGATGCGCCCCAGGTCGTGGGCCACGCCTTTCTGGCCCTGCTGCCACACGCGGTAGGCGTCTAGCAGGAGCGTCTTGCCCGACTCCGTGTCCTCCAGGAGCTTCCTCTTGCGGCTGGGCCGTGGGGGTGGCTCCTCGGGGTGGCTGCCCGCCCTGGTCCCCGTGGCAGGGGGGGTAGCGGGAGCCGGGGTGGGGACTGGCTGGGCTGGTGTGAGCGTGGTGGGCTGTTGCCGGGCGCTGATGCTCAGTTCCTCCAGGGACAGCTCCGCGGGCCGGCTCTCGGGGCCCCGGTCCCTTGGGGGGCGTCCGGGCAGCAGGGATGGCGTCCGCTCCAAGTCTGAGCAGCGAGCAGCGGCCTCCCCCACATCCATGGGCTCGGTGGGCCCTGCCCGGGGGCTCTCTTTGTCCTTCCGCTCCCCGGCCTGGTCTGTGCTGTCTCCTGCGTCCATAGCCACAGGCCGGTGGTTGAGGGAGCCCCCTTTGCCCCCTGGCTCGGGCCCTGGCCCTGAGCCGTCAGCCAGAGGCGGCTTCTTGGCATTGGGGAGGCCTTCCTGGCCATCCTCGGGACTGGCCTTGTGTGAGATGTCACTGGTCATCCTGGCTCCGGGGAGGCTGCAGGCCTTGGGCCCCGGACGTTCTGAGCCCTGTGAGGAGACCCAATGTGAGGCTCTGTGTCTTTGCTGTCTCCCTGCAACAAAGCACCCCTGGGCAACAGGTGTGCCCATCCTGGGCCTCTCCCCCTCACCCGGTGCCACCTGGCTCCAGGTATCCGCCACTGGTCAGGCCTGTGCCTCAGTTCTCAGGGAGGACGCCAGGCCCAGAGACAGCTGAGGGCCCTCCCGGCTCAGCTCCAGTCGCCTCACCGCCCTCCCAGGTAGCAAGAGGCTGCTGGGTCTCTGGAGGCAGAGCTGCTCCTGAACGCCAGGACTGGCCCAGTTAGGGCAGCACTGCCCAGCTCTCCTTCAGCTCAGGGGGAGCCTCGGGGCACCTCTGGGTGTGTTCTGGGGAGGGGACCCACTGGGGCCACCATGTGTGCTTGCGATAGGGCCAGGTCTTCCCGGCCTCATGCACGAGGCCCAGGTGAGAGATAGCAACGACCCCCCTTCCTGGCTCAGGGTGCCATCCCTGCCCCCTGGGCCTGTCACAGCCTCCTGCACATGCGATGCTCGGCTGTGAGGCGGGGTTGCTACTGCACCTGCTGCCGGGGTTGCTACTGCACCTGCTGCCGGGGGACCGTGCGTGCATGGTGCTCTCGCAGGCCTTGCGCAGCCCCCGCGGGCTGCACTGCAGGGGTTCAGCCTTGGGCACGGTCCCTCATGGTGCACGAGCGTGTGAGCACTCCCTGAGCATCTCTGTGCTCCTTGTCCCACTTGTGGTGGGAGTAGGACGGATACCACTTCACAGGTGGGGACCTCCCGAGGGTGCGCAAGTGGTGGCATCAGGACCTCCACCTGGGCAGGGTCTCAGGTGCAGGGGTGGAGGGCGGAGGGCGGCGTACCTCGGCAAGCTCGCTCAGCGTGTCCTCCAGCACCTTCACGGTGAGGATGAAGGCCCGCTGCGCCAGGACCTGGCGGTCGGCATCTCGCAGGTACTTCCTGCATCAACCACATGGTGGCCGGAGGGTGGGAGAGCGTCAGACACCACACGGCATCGCTGGAAGGTGGCCCGCACCCCGTCCCTGCCCTGAGCATGCCTGTCAGTCCCTCAGTGTCCCACCTGCGCCTGCTGGGGTCCGCTTTGCTAGAGGCTCCCCCTGGGTCCCCTTCCTCCATACCCAGCAGGCCTGTGACCTGCCACCAGCTCTTGCCCTGGGCCCTCTGGGCTACTGCAGTAAAGGCTAGAATGATACCAACGTACACGGGAGCCCTGCTGGGGAGCCCTCTGTGAGGACTGGGGAGGGCCCAGCTCCTCCCCTTTGGCCTCTTCCCCGTGGACACCTTCAGCAGGCCCAGCCAGAGATCCCTCCAAGCCCCTGGCATGCTGCAGGTGAGACAGTGAGAGGGCGAGGAATACAGGCCCAGGACGGCCCGGCCTGGCCCAGCTTGGCTGGCAGCACAAGGCCTCTCAGCCAGGCCAGGCCACACCTGAGCTGCATCCATCCTGGGCCCCCTACCACCCCATAAAGCAGCACTGCACAGCAGAAGCCCCTGATCTATTCATCTCACCCCCTCCAGCAGAGAACGCCCTGTTTTCCTGTGAGGCCCGGGTCCCTGGCTATCCTGTGAATGTGTATTCCCCATAACACGAGGCGTTTCTGAGAGCCCCATGCAGGGGGCAAGCTGGAGGGGAGGAAAGGCTGGGTGTCTGGTCTCAGCATGGACAGCCTGCTCCACGGGAGAGCCTGGGCTGCCGTGGGGGGCTTGGGGGCAGGATCTGCATCTCTGAGTATTGCTCAGTCGCGGGGGCGACTGCCCTGGCGGACACGCTCTGGCCCAGGCGGTGCGGCTCCCTGCGTCTGTGGCCGCGGAGGGCGGGCGGGGGGTGGCACTCACTTGCCCTGGTCCGGGGTCCGTTGCAGCATGGAGGACACCTTCAGCAGCGTGCTGTGGTCCCGCAGCTGGGCCAGCACCTTGAGCAGCAGCACGATGGGGCGGTTCACGGGGCAGGTTTTTTGGGGGAGGGGGCCCGGAAGGTCAGGAGAGCCGCCGCGGCCAGAGCATGGAGGACACCGGCCAGTCAGGGGCCTCCTGGACCCCTCGTGCTGCCCTGTGGAGCCTGCTTGCTTCCCGGGAAAGGCAGCAAAGAATACAGGCCCCAGGCCGCGGCCTCGTGTCTGGTTACGCTGCCCGTGGTTACTGAGCTGTCCCGACACAGGAGCAGAGGTCCTGCCTCCTCGAACACGGTGGGGACACGGAGACCTGGCCAAAGATGTGCAAGTGGGGCTGATTCCGAGGTGGGATTGCGGTTTGGACGGGGGCTGCAGTGACTCTCAGGTACAGGCCCCACCCTGGTGGTGCCCAGAGAGTCACCTGCAGGATGGCCAGGGTCCCCACCCACCTCAGTCTGAGCAGCTCAGTCCAGCAGGCACCCTGTCTCCACATGTTGCCATCCTCACCCGCTCTGCAGGCAAGCAGGGCCAGGGCTCTCCCTCCCCCAGGATTAACTTGGATGGCACTGGGCACCCACGGCGACTCCCGATCTGGTCCGCTGTGGTGTCCAGCACCAGCATGGCATCTGACACCCACATGGGAGTCCGGTCAAGGTATGGGGAACACATGGGGCCCAGGGAGCGAGCGGTCAGTGTGTGGGCAAAGGCTGCCCACCCTGGGCAGGCTGCCAGGGTCCTGGAGCAGACAGGCCCCCAGATGGGTGCCTATAGCCGATACCAACACTCTGGGGAAGGGACCGGGGCTGTGAGTGACACCACCTACTTCTTGGTGTGGAGCCCAGCACACGGCACAATTCCTTCTTCTACGGGGTTTTAGGCACCTGTGCCCAACCACAGGGACTGTGGCAGGGTGTGTGCGTGGGGCCCCTCCCAGGGCCCTGTTCCTGCAGGTGCCTACAGGTGTGGCCACCCTGCTCCAGCAGGCCTGGGGAGGACGCCGGCACAGCTCCAGCCCCTTGGTGCCCCGACAGCTCCATGCCAGGTCCCTGAGCAGACGCATAGCCTGGCCTACCCGGGGCTGTGTGGCAGCCCAACAGGGTCAAACCCTGGGAGCTCAGGCAGCCCACATGCAGGCGACAAGCACCAGCAATCGTCCTATCAGGCAGACATGGTATCTACTGCGCTCCTGCAAAGCCCCAGCGAGGGCAGGGAGGCCTGGGACCTGGGTTCCACCCTCACTGGTAGGCCCCGCCCCCTGCTCCCAGGCCCCGCCCCCCCGTGAGGCCTAGGTG